CTCAAATTTCCAACCCCTCAAATTTCCAACCCCTCAAATTTCCAACCCCTCAAATTTCCAACCCCTCAAATTTCCAACCCCTCAAATTTCCAACCCCTCAAATTTCCAACCCCTCAAATTTCCAACCCCTCAAATTTCCAACCCCTCAAATTTCCAACCCCTCAAATTTCCAACCCCTCAAATTTCCAACCCCTCAAATTTCCAACCCCTCAAATTTCCAACCCCTCAAATTTCCAACCCCTCAAATTTCCAACCCCTCAAATTTCCAACCCCTCAAATTTCCAACCCCTCAAATTTCCAACCCCTCAAATTTCCAACCCCTCAAATTTCCAACCCCTCAAATTTCCAACCCCTCAAATTTCCAACCCCTCAAATTTCCAACCCCTCAAATTTCCAACCCCTCAAATTTCCAACTTCCTAAATTTCCAAACTCTCAAATTTCCAACCCCTCAAATTTCCAAACTCTCAAATTTCCAAAATTCCTAAATATCTAAACTCCCAAAGTTCCAATCTTCCAAATATACTAATTAAAATTTTGCCAAAGATCTCCAAGAAATTCTAAACTTTCAAATCTCCAAGTATCCCATCCTATCCTCCGCCATTTTCCCTATGCTCGGCCTGCACACATTCCCGTCTCTTCACGGCCCGTTAAACAAGTTCGATAACAAATTGTCAGGGAATTACAGGAAATTAGCTGGTCCATTTGTCGGAAACTTTAGAAATTTCTCGATAAATCGATGCTCTAATATCCCAGCGTTAAGAGGCATCGTACGATGCATAATATCGCAACGATGCAAGTCGAGATTTCGATCGATGGTCCCGATGAAAAGTTAAGAGGTGTACCTTTGTTCTAGCGTTCACCAAAGACACCTCATTTAAGAATGCCGCATCGATTAAACGATTACCACGAGTCTCACCTGGTTGTATACGTTCGAGTGATCATCCAGAAAGATGAATGATTAACAGTGAAGCACCTGCATCAAAAAGCTGGCTCCATCGATTTTTTCCTTTTTATTTTTTTTTTTTTTTCAATGTTACCTCGACATCCGCGCAGCTCGAGTGCCGCTCGACTTTTCTCCTCACGCTAATTGCGATAGGAAGCATCAACTCATCTTCACGCGAATTTAAGTGTCGGCTCTTGTTACGAGTCTGAGCAGCGTTTAGAAAATAAATCCGCCGAGTAATTCGAATAATTAACGATACATCCGCGATAAATTTAATAAGACGCCGTGTAATACTTTAGGGAAAGTAGAGGAAAGATCGAGGGTTTGTTGGATGCGAGGAAATATTTAGAACATGGTACATTTGTGCTGAATTTTGCACAATTTTTCACGAGGACAAAAGAAAGAATTCTTCGGAACAACTGGATATATTTTTTGAGAATTTTTTTGTTTCATTCCGGGTCGAGTTTCGAGATGTTTCTGAAGATTGGAAATGTCGGTATTTTTGTATTTGAGAATTTATAAAGTTTGGGAACTTGAGTACATTTGGGGATTCAGAAAAATGGAACTATTAATTTGTTAAACATTTTGCAGGTTCTTCCAGGCCTGTATGTTGGCAATTATCACGACAGTAAAGACGCCGATCAGTTAGAACGATTCGAGATCACACATATTTTGGCAATCCACGACACTGCTCGTCAATTGCATTCCGTAAGTAGAACACAGTTAACACGTCAGATTATAGACTGCATAAAATAGTGAAGACATTGTTCGTAGGATAAGCATTATTTATGTATATTGGCGGCAGACAGTCCGGATCAGAATTTATCCCAGTACTTTTCCTTGTGCAATGACTTTATTCACGCTGCACGTTTGAGAGGAGGAAATGTTTTAATACATTGGTACGTGCTGTTTCTATAATTTTTTTCTGCAAATATATTTACTGTACCAATTTCCTGGGTCTAGTGACATATTTATTTTATGTGTACATGTGGGCTTTCTGTACAGCATCAAAAAGGGATGAAAGACAGTATCTTTGTTATTATATAAATTTCACACATTTTTTAATTTGTAAACCTTTTAATTAATGAGTCCAATGAAGCATCTCAATCAAGATCGAAATTATTGAATAAGAGATGTTAGATTTTTTTTAACAAAATTTGTTTTAAAATTGATATCTGACTTTATATTAATAAGTAATGTGAAATACATACAAAGGTATATAAAAATATACAATAAGCATATTGCATAAGAATATATGAAAATATATAAGAATACATAAGTATATATAAATGTAGACATAAGAATATGCAAGTATAAAAATATTTATATCGAACAAATTTTCACTATCGAACAAATATCTCCTATTGCCTAATTCACAAGAAAGAGTAATCTTCAGAAGATCTGTTGAGACCCACATTTACTCATTTCGTCCGAAAAGAATGAATGTTTTTATAATTGTTAATCAATAATTTGATCTACATCTGAAAGAGACCGATATCCGATTTCAGCTTAGCCGGTATGTCAAGAAGCGTGACAGTAGCAGTGGCCTATATTATGAGTACCACCAATCTTTCATGGAAAGAGGCACTTAAAGTTGTGAGAGTAGGTCGTTCCATTGCCAATCCAAACGTCGGTTTTCAGCAACAGCTAAAAGATTTCGAATCTAGCCGATTGCACGAGGTATTCAAATGAATCGTTTAAAAATAATAAACTGTTTCTTTGAAAAAAATCTAATATTAGCGACGATGATGGTAGTTTGAATGAACTAGTTTTGTGGATAATTTTATAGTGAGAATAAAGTGAACGCCATTTTGACCAATAAAAATGTACAGGGACACTAATTTTATTTTCGATAATACTCAATCGATTGTTGCAGTGTTTAACTCTTTTTGCTACGTACGTCTTCAAGTATTTAATAAGATTATTTATTATTAGATAAGTAAAAATGTTCTCATATAATGGGTGACTAGTTCAAGTTTAAATTCGTGCGTCATCATGGGTGACATGACGGTCAACTTATTGACCCTTTGTTGCATCGTGTTTCACCTAACATAATACGACAAAAGATACCGAATATATTTCCTATTTTGTGTTAAATACAATTTCTTAAACACTGCAAATATAACACAAGACATCTATCGCTTCTAAAATTGACAAAAACCACACAGTTGATATTAACACTAAACCTACACTTACTCTAAAATTAAAAAGATGAAAAAACAAATTTTTCAAGTTAAAATAAAAAAACTTGTAACATCATATTTGATAGTTTCATTGTTGAACTAAAAATGGAGAAATAAAAAGATTAAAAAACAAGTAAAAACAGTAACTAATATTTTTGCGTTGACACAGGAACGACGTAGACTGAAAGAACGATTTCCGAGCTTGGCTTTGGCCGAGTCCGATGCAGAAGTGTGTCGCACTACTTTGAGAAATTACGAAACCATGGCATTGGCACGGGAAGTGTGCGAAGGAAAATGTGCCATGGGCCGTCCTTGTCCGACTGGACTCTGTAGGCAACCATCCAAAAGGTTTGTCAACGTTTGGACAGTTCCGATTAACACGACTCCGAAGAAGAAACCAGATCGATAATTTTATTCGATTCCCGTTTGCAGAAGCCCAAGAAGAAAGCCATCCACGGGTAGTACTAGCAGCTTAACTACTGGTCGAACTCCACCACAAACACCGAGAATGTTACCGTCTGCGCCACCCTCGCCGGCTATGCACAGGTCATCGAGTGTGCTTTCTACTGCGAGACCAAGAAGTGGTCCTGCTGGTTTACATTATTACACCGGGGGATCTGCTCCTCCATCCAGGTATTATTCTTTATGCTCGAATATATGGTGAGGTGGTTGACTTTCATTTCTTTACTTGGGTGTCGAAGGACAACTACTGTGGAAAGTTTTCAAATTACTACATTAGCAAGTTTGAATGTTTGTACATGTCTAAGTATGCTCATAAATTTCCAAATTATTAGATTCACATAACTAAGTCATTGAGAAAAGAAATTAAGTTTCAAGTATGATGTCAAATGTCTAGTTTTGGAATGAGCAAAAAAATGCTGCTCAAGATGTGTTCAGGAGAAATGTTGTCTCAAGAGATGTGTTCAAGAGAAACGTTTCAAGAGATGTGTTTAAGAGAAACGGTTCAAGAGACGTGTTCAAGAGAAACGGTTCAAGAGATGTGTTCAAGGGAAACGTTTCAAGAGATGTGTTCAAGAGAAATGTTTTAAGAGATGTGTTCAAGGAAATGTTTCAAAAGATATGTTTAAGAGAAATGTTTCAAGAGACGTGTTTAAGAGAAATGTTTTAAGAGATGTGTTCAAGGGAAATGTTTGAAGAGATCTGTTCAAGGGAAACGTTTGAAGAGATGTGTTCAAGGGAAATGTTTTAAGAGATGTGTTCAAGGAAAATGTTTCAAAAGATATGTTTAAGAGAAATGTTTTAAGAGATCTGTTCAAGGAAAACGTTTGAAGAGATGTGTTCAAGGGAAATGTTTGAAGAGATGTGTTCAAGAGAAATGTTTCAAAAGATATGTTTAAGAGAAATGTTTGAAGAGATGTGTTCATGAGAAATGTTTCAAAAGATATGTTTAAGAGAAATGTTTCGAGAGACGTGTTTAAGAGAAATGTTTGAAGAGATGTGTTCAAGGGAAACGTTTGAAGAGATGTGTTCAAGGGAAATGTTTTAAGAGATATGTTCAAGGGAAATGTTTTAAGAAACATGTTTAAGAAGAAGTTGTCCTCGAACAATAATCTTGAGAACCACTGCCTAATCCTTGTTAAAATGTTTAATCTAAACCTTGCAGAGCGGTATCGAGGGTGGACCTGTCCGCAGCAGTAGCCTGCAGCAGTAGCAGCACGAGTCTTTCATCCATGGGTAGATCCGGCATGTCCGGAAGTAACTGGCGTCTAACAGCCGGATCCGCTCCGAACACACCAAGGCCAACACCGCCAGTTTCTCCACAACGTTGGCCAAGGAGAGCTTCCAGACAAACACCTCAGCTACCGATCTCTCCAGAAACTCCTTCGACGACGACGTAGCATCTGCGGAACTTCCGTTCGTTCTCCGCTCTGCCCGAATAATTTCGAACGAACGACGCGAAAAGAAACTTTGGCGAATTGTAACTTTCCAAAGACACTCGCAAGAATAAACTGTTGCAAATTTCGCGAACGTTTGACAAGACTAAAGCACAACGGTGGTTTCTGCTTTTACGGGTCGATAGTTATATTTGTTAACGATGTAAAATGAGAGGTTGTTGCAATAATGCGTTTGCAAATTATGAGATGTCACGCGAGGAACTGCACAAGGCACATTTTCTTTTTCGCTTGGAAACGAGATCGAATTTTAACGAATGCTTGAGTATTATAAGAATTGATAAGTTTTTGGACGCTAAAGGGAATTTTGGAGATTGGTACCACGCGTATAATTTTAATGTGCGCTACAATCATCGACAATCTTACGTATGGTTCTAGGATTCTCGTTAATTAACGCGTTGGGTGTTTTCTGCTCAGACCGTGGGGACTATGTTATTGCTTACGTGGGAATCTTTGTGAGATTGCGAAAATAATTGGAATTAGATACCACAGAGAAAGTATGTTTCAAAATATGATTTATTAGAGTGACTTGCAAATTTCTAATCCCAACTTTTACATCTGCAAATAGTTAACAATTGAAGTCGTCAAATTTCTAAATTTTAAAAAATATCAAGACAAGGTAGACAAGTTATGTCTATCACATAGATATTATTACTCAATTTAGGGAACCTTCTCAGACAAAAATTGTAGTTACACCAATGACCAACTCTAGAAACACCTTCTAACAATATTTAATTAGTCCAACACTTGTTCATATAATGAAATCAAATTTCTGCCAATACATCAGGGTCTGAGTAGAAAATTACCACGTGGCACCCAACGGTCCTTTTTTTATAAAAGAATCTGTATCATGAAAGTTGTTATTTACGACAAAGCTGCGAAATAACTGTCCAAAGTCCAAACGAATCTCTTCGTTTACTTGCGTCAAATTCAACTCGTAGATTCATTTCCCAACGGTATAATATTAGCTGAAACCGTAGTTCGTCGTTAGAGAACGTTTCTCGTGTTCATTTATTAAACGTTCAGAATTCGTAGCTAATCATGCAAGTTTTTAGTGTAACTTTTGACGAACTGCTTGTTGGTTTTCTTTTTCAAATCGAAGCTTGTTGGCGATATTTGCATTCAGAAATGCTAATTTAGACCATTCGAAGTACGTCGTTAATATTAGATTATTAAATATTTAAGAATGAAATTATTGGAAAGCGAGAAGATGAAGAGTTGTTCCCTCGAGTCGTTCCATTAAGTTTGTTCGCAACCGTCCATTGCAGTTGTTGGATTTTGTAGCGAAACCACGCTGTTTAGCGCAAGTTGTTAATCCAGAAGAAAGCATATTATGCGAAAACATATTTAAAATGTGTCGATGAGCGCGTTTCGTGCATACGCATAGAAAAATTTTAAGAAAGAAGGGAATTTTAGAAAAATCTGTTTAGAGACAAATTTTAGAAATCTGTTATGTGCTCTGTTTTAAGTGTCCCATAACTGTTAATTAACCCTTTGCACTCGAGAGGTCACCATTTTATTTCAAACAATAATTTGAAATTAGCATTTTTTGATTCTATAATATGACACGTGTGATGTATAAATATAGTGAAACAAACAATAGTGGAAATTATTGGTAGAGGAATAATAACCTCAAAAGAGTTCATTTAACTTTTTAAATAAGTTGCTGTTTGCAAAACAGTGAAATTACCTTCGAATGCAAAGGGGTAATAAAAATTGAACACTGTGTTAACTTAATTGAATAATAGTTTAATTAAATGTAGGGTAATTGATACAATCGATTGTCATCGTCAGAAAAAGTGTGATATTAACTGTTAAAGTTATCGTGTTTTAAACAAAAAAAAAAATAGTAGGAATTAAAAAAGGAAGTGCGTGTGCATGAAATAACGCTGAGCATCGCGCACTTGTATGCGTATACACTTTGTAGGCATACGTTGTTGCAAATGGATTTCAGAAGATTTTATAAATTGTTGGCTATGGTGATTATTATGCGACTATGTCGTAGATTAGATAGACACGTTGTTATTCTTTCGTGCACCGAAGTATGTACGATTCACACACGATGAGTGAGAAAAGAAAGAATCTACGTGCGAATCTTGAACCTCATTCCTCTTATCATCGGACCGTATTATCCTCGATTCACACGATAGAAATATTTATTTTTCTAGAATCACGCGATTATATCATAGGTTAAAGAACTAGTAAGTAGAGAAGAAAATGCGCAGTTAAGGGTATTAAAAAAATGAGAAAAGTAAAAAAAAGCATTTCATTCAACTTTCTAGCGTTATTCAATCCTGAAGGATTTTAACAACACATTGTTAAAGTCTTCGTGTTAGCTGTACTCGTTTGAACTTGAACGAGAATGTAATCGAAATGGTTGATTACTGGCGTCGTGTTTATTCGTTGTTGTCTTTTTAAACGTTCAATAGTCCCTCGATTTACGAGGGTTAGGGTGATAATCGAGCAATAACGTGGATGTTGAGAATTCGAAGATCCAGTAATCCAAATCGTTTCGATTGATCTCTCGTTTCTGGTTGTAAATTCAAAGGAGTACAACTATGATGTTAAAAATTCACAAAGTATTTTTTATAAACTTATTGTTTTCAAAGGTTTGCTGGATACTGACATATCGCTGTTATATTAATTAAATATATATATACACCGATACACACAACGCTTGACCATTTAAATACGAGAATATATATACGTACATATATATTTGTAGAGAAAGAAAGGGAGAGAAAGTGAGAGAGAAAGTGAGAAAAATTCTTAAGTCACAAATTGTATTATGTTCTTTCATCTTAGAAACGATATTTTAAGTACAATTTCGATGGGAAAGATATTCAACATTTCATATTTCTTATTCGACGCTTATGCTACGTGAGTTTAGGTTCTGATTGTGAAAATAAAAGAAGGAAAGATCAGCAGAACGTTTTTTGAAAACGATGTTTCAATTTACGCTTAGGGTAACTTTCGAAAACAGTTTAAGTCGCTGTTTAAAACATTCAAAAAGAACGGGATCAAATTGAAAATGATACAGTGGACCCGATTTTTGTTAACAAGTATGTAAAAAAATATGTGGTACAAAAATAATAATTCAGCTTGCAAAATTTTACTGCAGACTTTTCATGGAAGAAAATTCGGTTTATAATTTTAGAATATTTTAAAGCGACTTGCGCAAGCTTTCAAAGTTATCTTCCTTTGTTTTCTACACAAAATGTTCCTTATTATTCATTTTAAACGCGTTTGCAGTTATTTTATATTGAATGAAATTTCCGATCAACCATAAAATAATTAAGCAATAAAATAAGTAATGTACATTTGTAACTTCGGAATTTATTATTTATCTGTATGAGTCTCTTTGCATACATGTTCTTCTTGCAACGTTTGTAGCAGTGTACCAAAACTTATAAAACAATTTTTCAGTTTAATTAACTCGTCCCGTTTCTCATCCTGTTAAAATTTGTACGAAACATAATTTGAGGCATACAAAGAAGATATAAATGACAATAGTTTATTGTAAAATAATTTAAAAGTTGAAATTTGAAGCGTTTGTTCTTTCACGAATTAAAAAATTTAAATTTTCGCGCGCTGTACTCGAAACGGTGTTGCTGACGTCATCTAACGACCAGACGCGGAACTACACGAATATAAAATCACGTTTCTTCTCGAAATATAACATTTTTATGGTTTAGCAATAATTGCAAATTATTCTACGTGCACGATAAAGTCAAAAGAATACCTTCACGCTGGGTTTAAAGCTTTGTATTCGAAAATTCAAAAAATTGCATTTTATGGACTTTAAAATGCTTAGCCATCTAGCGGTGGAAGGTGCGAACTAATGGAACTAAATTACAAGTTCAATTTATGTATGTATTTACTTTTCGAACCTGTTAACATTTGCAAAATGTCTTAATACTAACTCTTGTTAATTTCTGAAGCAATTTATCGCATATTATTGCCAATTAACCTGACAAAAATAACTCACGAAAAAAAAGCGATTCTTTGTCTCTCTAGTTTTGCACCTGTCCGCTGGAAGACGTCAGCGGTAATGTCTTCAGGACAGCACGCGCGAAAATTTAAATTTGTTAAATTCGTCGAAGAGCGAAAACTCCAAAATGCTTCAACTTCTTAAATTAATTGTTTTACAATAAACTATTATTATTTATATCCTTCGTACCTATTAAGTTGCCTCGATATTTCCCTTATGAATGAATATTTCGATGTAAAATTCCATTATATAAAGCACAAAATATGCAATGAAGCTTACTTTCAAAAGTAAGCATTTATGAAAATTAGATTCTTTATCGATTTTGAGTATACCTTCTATAAATGTGTACGGTGTATCCTTTAGCTGCCGTTTTCCTCAGGGAAACCCTTGTTTCTTCTTGTAAACATTGTTTTTACGTAAAATAAAGTGGGGTTTGACAGGTCTACGAAAGTTTCTGATGTCACTTTTATAACAAATAATAATGAGAATGTATTCTTAGATGGTTTATAACATTTTTAAACACAAAAAATGGTGTTCGTACATTATTTAATAACTATGATTAACTTCAGATGGCGTAAGATGATTATTTTCTGCACCTGGGAGTTTCCTACGTAAAAAGATAGATTGTATGTGATTGGCAAGATATGAACGAAAAAGGGTAACTAAAGGACGCAATAAACTAATTGTGACGACTCATCGTATTCGTAATTTTGTACGATCAAAATGTAATGGTTCTATAACTAATCAACGATAATTGAATAGCCAACGATGAGTGGAAGATAACTTTAACCTGCTAATAAGAAGCAGTGTGACACTTCATTAGGTAGTTCGTTGATCATGGGGGTTGCTTAAACGTCTAACAAATACTTGCAAATAATGTACACAATGATAAATTTGTTTATAATAATGGATGATAAATATTATTTCATGGGATGAGTTCTTCTCCTATTTCGGTGTCTCTCTGCGTTATTCGCGTCGAGATCGTTGATGAAAATTCTGAAGAATCGAATGGTAAATATTTAGTCACTGTTTCCTATTAGAGCAATCTCTCTCAGCTGTTTTTTTAATAACTTTTAACTTACGTTTATTTGTGTTTATTATGAATCGCTTTGATTGATCTTTATGTTTACAAACTTTTCAAAGGTTATGTTGCTGTCATAACAATGTTTTATTTACATAATTTTATTTTTTATTATAATTATAATTTTGAAACTGTATATGATCTATTAACGGACATGAAGCGAAATAAATTTTTCTAATACAGATGTGTTTGTTTTTTAATCATATATAATTCGGTAAATAAAAACTTTAATATTAACTGTTCAAATTTGAATATCAAATTGCATTAATAGGATCCTTAGTTTATATTTAATTTATAAATCATTACTATACTTGATTAAAGAACTCATTTTTAGAAAATATATTTTTACTTGATGTATGAAATTTGCTACTATAGTTTTTAACAGTGCAAAGAAGATCATACCTTGTTTGTATCATGATTAATTCACAGTGGATTTCGTAATCCAGGAGCAATGGCTGCCAAGATGAGGGGTCGCAGAGAACCAACCAAAATAAACATGGAAAATTGTACAAATCTTACAGAGAAGGGAGATTTATCGCTTCCTTCTCAAGGGACTAGTAAGTCTGGCTCTAATTCAAGAGCCAATTCAGAAGAAAATACTTATGATGATACAGAAATGGCTGGCGCTAGTGCTTGTGCATGTGATCAAATCAATTTTATCTCTGGAAATCCATTTGTCGAAGTAACCAAAGGAATTATACACTTGTATAAGGAAAAGTATGTCTACTTCTTTAATGATATTATCATGGTATATTGAAAGTCTTTACACATATATATGATAATGTTTTCAGCAAATTAACAGATATACATCATGCAGCAGAACGTACCCAAACTATCTGCATTTTGTCAGTTCCAGCTACAATGACTTGTCATGACCTTCTAAGGTTTACAGCACCTTGCCATCAAGATGTACGGCACTTTAGGATACTTAGGGACGGAAGTCCTAATCAATATATGGCACTAATTACCTTCAAATCTGCTGTAATTATAATGAATTTGTCAAATGCTAATAATACACATTGGAATTATGTATCAGTTATTCGTCTTACATCGATTTTTATATAATGTTGTAGAGTGCAGCCACAGAATTTTATGGTTCTTTCAATGGTACACCATATAATTCCTTTGAACCAGATGTTATATGTCATATGGTATTTGTGTATAGCGTAGAAGTAACGTACAATGCGATGCCTTTATCCGGGCATACAGAATTACCGCTTTGTCCAGTTTGTTTGGAGAGGATGGACGAAAGTGTTGATGGAATTTTAACAATTCTCTGCAACCATACCTTTCACGCGAGTTGTTTAGCTAAATGGGGAGACACTTCTTGTCCAGTTTGTAGATATGCTCAAACTCCAGAATCCTTTGCAGATAGCTACTGCATGGAATGTAGTACGTAAAAAGCAAATGTTTTAAATATTATTAAAAAAAAAAGAGCGATAAGAATAAAAATTCTGCTAATTCTATATAATGAGATCAAAAACATTTTTTAGATACGGGAGAAAGTAATGATGCTCTATGGATATGTTTGATATGTGGACATATAGGTTGCTCGCGATATCATCAAGGACACGCTTTCCAACATTATCGCGAGACGCATCATTGTTACGCCATGCAATTAGGCAACAATAGAGTGTGGGACTATGTTGGAGATAATTTTGTTCATCGATTATTGCAAAATAAAGATGGCAAAATGGTTGAAGGTGGCCCCACAGCAACCAAGGCAGAAGGTGCTGCAATGGAGGAAAAAGTAGATTCTGTGCAGCTGGAATTTACTTATCTTTTAACGTCACAGTTAGAAACTCAGAGACAGTACTTTGAAGAAAGATTAGCACGATTAGAACAGCATTCTGTTTTACAAACTACGGAACTCAGAGAAAAGTTGGGTCAAGTGTCGGAAGAAAATGCCAAAGTTAAGGTAAATTAATATAACTGTAATACACATTTTGTAAAATAAATCTTCAGCTTATAACAATTATGCATCGTTGTATTTTAGGAACAGTTAGCGTCGTTAACTCGAGAGAAGCAAAACGTGGATAAACGATTACAACAAGTTAGCAACAAATTAGTGCAAGTACAGGCGGAACTAACAGAAGAAAAAGAATTAAGGAAAGCGTTAGAACTAAATCAAGCCTCTTGGCAAGATAAATATAAAACGTTACAGGATGAAATGACCCAGTATAAAGAAACGAAACAAGCAGAAGTTGCAGACTTAAAGGAACAAGTGCAAGATTTAATGTTTTATCTTGATGCTCAAAAGAAGGTCGAAGATTCCGAACTGAGAGATGAAATCGCATCGGGACGTATAATGATTCCAGAAACATCTAACCCTACCAAGAAGAATACTCGACCTTCTAAGTCTCGTAAAAAACGTTGATATTATTTGTTGATATCTTATACAATTGATTTTGAATTGCTCCTAAGAATTAAACTGATTTTGTATCATGTTTTAATTATGTCGAATAAACAGTTTTTTTACTGATTTTAAACAACAGGCACTGAAGAACAGCACGAAAAAAGCGTCACCCGATAATGTAAACAACTTAAATTTATAATTTTCAAAAATACATACAAGTTTTTTTTAATATTAAGTAATTTCATGTTTCTAAAAAAAAATGTATGGAATCTTACATGTTCAAGATAAATATAAATAGAAAATTTGGAATTTATTTGTATATAAAAATTTGTGTATTTGTTTTCTTTATATTTACATCTAAAAAAAAGGTTTTTATTTTATTAATTTGACTACAACTTAAATATTCAGTAAGTAACGATGTTCTACGTGAAAGTAATTGATACTTCTATTTTTTTATAAAAAGTAAGGTCACAAATGCAAAAAATGTTGGTTTTTAAAGTTATCTATTCAAAGGAAACGTAGTAAATTAAGTAATTAACAATTGTCAGATGTGTTTAATATTTTGGAAAAATTAATAAACTATTACTTTCAAAACAACGCAACATCTTGTTATTATAATATTTAATAAACGTATTAAAAGTTTCCTTCAATTTGTTATTAAATATTGTAGTAGATATTCATAATCATTGTACTTGAAATTACGTATCTTATGCTGAGTGACTGAATAATCATAATATGTATATACATACATGTATAGATAAATTTAAATAAACGTCATTTACTTACAATTAATCGTTAACCAGCAATATTGTGTAAGCAAAAACAAATTTTATATTTTTTTGGCATTTAAATTTAGCTGATATTTACGGTTGAACACGTTAAAATTCCTTTACAATTATCATATTAATTTTCATGAAATTCTTTTTAAAATTATTGTACACATTTTTACGCTCGTTTTATCATTTGTTTTTAATTTAGTTACATTACAAACAAGAATTAATCTTCCAACAACGAATCGTGAATCAATTGCGATCCAAAACCTACGAAACATACAATATTATTTGAACAAAAAATTATGTTGAAAAGTAATATTTAGAATAAAAGTCTAAAATTTTCAAAATGGAAATAGAATATAAAATAAAATTTATATTATCACCGTATCAGCGGTTCGCTTTCCAAGGGTTAAACACTGGTACTAATAATAAAAATACAAAGAAAAACTTATTTAAAAAAGTACCTCAATACATAATTTTTATTAAGGTATACACATGTTGCTGATTTATAGTTTCTTTTTATGATAATAATTATTCTATTTTTTTATTCTCATAAGAGTACGAGTTGCTTTTAGACAATTATTAGTTGCCAACACAATTCGTTGGCCCAGTTATAAAATAAAACTGATATACATATTTACATTATCTACAATTGCATTCGCTTAGAATGCACGTGTTTAACTAAACGATTGCACGTTTGGACGTCGATGTTGGTCATGTATATATGTAAATAAATTTAAATTGCTTGATCGTTCACGATATTAAAAACCGTTTTATATTTAACCACAGCGAAGCACAGTTTCTTCCTGTATACGAACAAAAATATGAACAGTTACATATTACGAATCCTAAAAAATAATCATCAACAAAATACAAACTCAATATATAATACGGAAACAGCATAATCGTTTAAAATGTTGCATGCAGTTTTGTTTAAATTTATAATAACAGTTTACAGAAACTTAGTTTCACAACAACAACGGGTCCTTTAATACAGTACAATAAAATTTGAATACATGTAGTAGTTCATCGCTCCCCTATTTCATATTGCTCTCTTAAAAGTTAAGCGTTAATAAATCCTCTAATATCTCGATGTAAAACAATCAACATACGTTAAGATGTTTGCCACAGCGTCATACCAAACATATTTATAAACGTAAATATCTTCTAAAACTTTGTTCAAGTTTAGATTCTAAAATCCTACTTATTACGTACTTCAGATACATAACATATTAAATTTCTATCGGAGAGCAATATGAGGAACCAACATCGATCAGTCTTGGAATTACGATTAGAGATAAAAATTATGATATTTTGCAAAATATATAAATATAAAAGAATAATAACTAAGATCCGTAACTACCTTGTGATAATTAATAACGCTAATTGTCAATAGGGCCATATGCGTCATATAAACTTAACGCAGATAAATATGGGCCTTCTTATCCTTTCTTACATTCAATGCCAATGCATAAAATCACAATATGCATGCTTCGTGTAAAATAGTTATTGTAAAAAAATTTCGTACAATGATCAACACATAAAAAGTGCTTAATGATTCCATAATATTGATCAGTTAGTTATTATTACCTAATAGTTAATTAGTGTAAGTTGGCAAAAGCATTTCATCTTATAGTCTTCCCTTTATGGAAATTACTCAAATTTCCAGACAACATGTATCAGTTAATATTCATTAAAAATTTCTTATTATCTTAAGTAGTTACAGTCTCGAGTCATTGTATTTAGCAGACTATATGACGAAAATTTTCGAAGTGCTACACATAGTGCACAATGTACAGTACAGTGTAGTCTCGCTATATGGCGCCCATTTAAAGATTGCCCTTCGTATGGATTTTCACATACATTACTGGTACTTCTCAATCATCAGCACATGGAGATCTACAAGAAATTCCAAATTTTCAGATTTTCAAATTGGGAAATTTTCAAATCTCAAATCAAGAAATTTAGAAATTTCTCAGATTTAAAAAACAGGAAGTTCAGAAATTTAAATGTTTAAGCACTGCACGATAGAAGTTCCATTTTATATGTCCCATTCCATAATTTTATCCACTCTTATAATCCTGTCCAGGGCCATATAGTGAAACTGCACTGTACACAATGTAAAATCGTCTTTTCTTGCGGATAAGACAAATTAAACCTTTTCATTCCATAATACCGCTAGTAGTACTAGCACATGATTCAAGTTTAAAATGTCTATGTTAAAGTATTTAGTAAACGATAATAAAAACGAACGAGATTTAAACAAAACTATGTAACACATTTATATTACATTTGTTTCGTCACGTTTTGTTTTGTGCTCAATTAGTTTCTATCATTGATAAAGAAATAAAAGATAAAAGAATACAGTAAAATATCGTAAAATCATCATTCGTAAAACAATATTGATATTGACTAAATAGATTGGAAATCTCGTTCGTTCTTTAATTTTCGGTATTTACAGGTTCGCGTGCATGATGAATTCTGACATGTTTGTTGTGATTGGATTTCGTACCGCTAGATTTTCCACAAATATGACATGTATATGGTCTGGCACCTGAATGTACTCGCAAGTGTTCTTTCAGATAATATGATCTATGAAACGTTTTGTTGCAAACATCGCATGTATACGCTTTGCTTTCTTCGTGTTCCTTCACATGCCTTAAACAATTATACTTTCGTATGAATTGCGCACCGCAGTAATTGCAGGTAAAAGGACGCACATTTCTATGGGAATTCATGTGAGCAGTGTAATCGCTGTGCCGGTAAAACGCGGCACTACACTGATTACATTTAAAGGGTTTGGTGCTACGAGCAGCGTGAGTCCATTTGTGCAATTGTAAATTCCACTTAGTACTAAATGCCTTCGAGCAAACTTGACATTCGTATGGTCTTTCGCCATTGTGAACTCGCATATGTACTGCTAAGGAAGATCGCAAATAAATACACTTACATATGGGACATTCAACGTTTTCGTTTTCCCTTTGAGCATCGGGAACAAATCTTCTGTTATGAGCTCGACGCATGTGTCGAGTCAGGCTAGCCATGTGAATGAATCTTTCGTTACAGTATGTACATGCTTTTGGTTTTTCATCGTGTGTTTCCTTATGCCAGGCTAATTTCTTCTTTGTATGAAAAATCTCACCACAGTGACATATGTAATCCTTCAATTTCTTTTTTATGTTCAAGTGATGTCTGTTTTTGTGCTGTGTTAAATTTGAATATCTGCGAAACGTTTCATTGCAAAGATTACACTTGACAGGTGCATTCCCGGTATGGCCATTGGTATGCTCGTCTAATTTTTGTTTTGTCAAAAATGTTTTGTCGCAAACGGTACACGGAAATGGTTTGATTCCTAGATGTCGTTTCATATGTAATTTAAAATTTTGTTTCCTATAAAAATACTTCCCACACTGGCTACATTCTAACGGATGTATTTTTAGGTGGGCATTAAACAGTAAAACCGAAGGAAATTCTTCGTTACATATCTGGCACTTAGTACTCTCTCGAATTCTTTTCGCTGTTTCTGTAACATGTACTCTTTTATGATGTAATTGTAACGATTTTTCACTACTAAATCTTTGATTACAAAGTGTACAAATCACCTCGATATTCGATGGTATTACCAACGTTTCGATTTTTTGATCAGGTTCTACTTTTGCTGTTAATTCCGATGATTGCGGTGGTTGGAGTTGATGTAAAAGCGGTTGTTGATGGTAAGTTTGTTGAACGTGTAAACCCGGTACAAAAAAATCGTCAAATGCATTCATGCGACCATCCAGCAACTTAATATCCTTCACTTCAGGTTGATCCGTTGATTCTCTGCTGCTACTGGGTCCGGCTTCTTGATGCACGGTAGTACTGTGTACTCGACGTTCTTTCGGACAATCAAATGTTTCTGGGCAATGATAACATTTAAATGTTCTTTTTGTCGGTGTTTTTCTATCTCGATCTAAGAATAAACTTGATGTAAAATGTGTGGCTAAAGATCTGCTATCTAATAACGGACCACTAATTTCATTGTCTGATCCTTCTGATTCTTCCCAACTTTCACGTGCCATCAAATCATAAGAGGTTGACATTCGTGATGATTCTTGACCAGCATACAACTAGATACATATGATAGAACCCATGTTGTATTGTAATACATTTAAAAAAATAATTTAATAATAGTTTGTGTTATAAATATATAACATGGTTTCAAATTATTAATTTATATGCTATATAAATAAAATATGATTAAAATAACAAAATAGTATACACACCTGCCAAGCTGATTGCTCTGTACATCCATTGCTTTCTTGTTCCGATAATTCACCTCTAGGTGGCATAGTTTCATCAGCCCTCATGTTAATACTTTTCACTTCTTCATCTACACCTATTCCTCCTTCACTACTCGCCATAGACTGTTGACTGGTTGCACTAACAGCTTTTTGTGAAGAATCACTTATAAATGTACTAGGAACTAATATTTGAAGACCATCTAATTCAAACATATTCATTGGACCTGCATGAGCATCCTCGTTTAAACTAAGAAGTTCCACCGATTGCTTTTGTATAATTGATTTAGAGTGAAAGCTTTTTGAATCAGAACTACTTGCAATATCACTAGATTCTGACAAATTTACAAGATTATGACTTTTGTTTGTTGCATTATATGACTCATCTATCGATGTTGATTGTTGAGAATGAATTGTAGGAAATGAACTCACATGTTCAGTAATTACAGACTGATATGCTGTGTCTATTACTTTCTTTTCATTTTCACATATAGAAAGTTCTGATTGATCAGCTTTTACATCTTGTTCAATTGAAGAACAATCAATAGGATCTTTTTCTGGAGATGCATCCATTGCTGCATTACTTTCTTCATCGTGACTTATATCATTAGCATCCATATGACAAAATGAATGTACTGATGCAGGTGAGCATGGTTTACTGAGATCTTTTCTAACTCTCAATACAGAGATACCGCTACTTACAGATAATGGAGTATGTGATCTAATATGATCTGTACCCTCTCCATATTTAACAAAAGGTGTGTGTGGGCTAGGTATTTCTTCTATCTCCATATCTGCCTCATCAAAATTATCTTCTGCTTCATTTTTTTCATCCTCTTCATCTTCATCTTGCAATGTATTTGCATCAAAACCAATTGGATAAGAATTAAGAGTTTCATTTGATCCAAAGTCTGAACGAACTGAATATGTCCTATACTTTTTTTGTACCGCTGGTGATGCAGGTGCAGATAAACTGTTTTTATAATGATACAAAAGACAAGAATTTTTATTTTCTTCACTATCTAGATAATTTTCTGAACTCTCATTCATCTTTATTTCTATGTCAGGGTTATAACTGCTATCATGTTCAACAGGATTACTAGTTTGAATTACACTTTCTGCTCTTTCAGGGGAAGATTTTGGTTCCAGAACTTCATCTTTCTTTTTGTCATCAGATTCTTTTTGTGATTCACTATTAAATTCAGATTCCACAATAGTGATTAAAAGGTGTTCTAATTGTTCTACTTGAGGTTGAGCTGATTCTTTTATTGTATCTCTTATAGGCATTTCAGATGAGGTACCTTGATTTTCATTTATCTCTTTTCTGTGAGGAACTTTTTCATTAGTTGTTTTTTCAGTTTCACTCTCACTTACCATGGATATCTCAGGCATGATAATTTTACTACTATCATTATCATCTTTATATCTCTGCACATATTCTTGCATCTCTGAAGATTCATAATGAATGGGTTTACACTGAACATCTGCAGTGATAACTTGTGATTCTCCATCATCGATATCTGGTAATACACTCTCAACTTTATCATCACTAGTATCAACAACATTACAAGTGATTTCTAATGTTTTTGGAATGCTATCATATTCATTTTGTATATTATGCTGATGATCAGTGCTTGAACCATGAGGTTCTTCCACATGCTCTATTTGAATTGTACTAGTTCCATTTTCATTTTGTTGTATAGAATTATCCTCATTCAACGATGGAGGAGAAACTGGAAGATTGATATCTGGTAACACTTGTTTAGACTCTTGCTCTGACTCAGGTAAAATTTCAGGTAAAATTTGTTTTGGCTCGGAATTATTTACAGACACAGCAATGGCAGTTCTACCGCTTGTTTCACCAGCCATGGTCACCACTGGCCTAATTCTTGCTGTGTTCGATATAGTTGTGACTGGTGAGATCATCTGAACAGTCGGTATCTGTTGTTGCTGGTACATGCCATATGGATTATAAAGCATCTGCATCATCTGATTAGCTTGTGGACCCATTGCGTATTGTGGTATCATCATAGTGCCATTATTTACAAACTGTTGATAACTGAACGAAGCAAACTGGGGTGGCATTACAGTGCCAATGGGTGGACATTCGAAAATAGGTCCTATAGGATATGGAGATTGAGCCGATACATGAGTATTCTGTGTAACTTGAGATGTACTTTGTGGTGATTGTATAGCTGGAGATGCTGGAGGCGCTGATGGTGACAACTGAGTTTGTTGCAAATGTAACGAATTAGTACTAGCTTTGATAAGAGCTTCAATGACTTGTTCTTTAGGATGAGTGTCCAAATGTCTCTGTAAGCTGATACCCTCACGTAAATAGAGGGTACACACTGGACAAGCCATTGTACTCCCTGATGTTCCATTGCTCGTTGCATCCATTGTGTCTGCGATATTTTGTTTATGCATCTAATTTTTCAACTGATACATTGAACACTGCCAATGTAATGGAACTTTTTGTAAAAGATGCACGTTGAAGTAATAACACCACTTTTTTCTTTTTGTAATTGACGTTTTTACTATTACTGCCAGTGGTATAGTTTTAATCGAATTCGGTGGAGATATCGTGGTGGTGGCCGCGGTCGTTGCTGTCGGCGTCGTGACCACCGCC